AACGTACGTTTTCGATTTTTCAAAAGTTATGACCGTTTGAATCAGCACATGTACGAGCATTCGCGATTTTTTCGCCTACACCACAATCGGTTAAAACCTCCAACATCTACATGTTTACAAAAGCATTTTTTTATGTCATACACGCAAGGCGAGATACTAGATAAATAAACTTGGAGAGTAATTTGACAGCAATGTTTACGCCGATGCAAGATAACATTCCTTCTGTTTTTGGCATTTAAAAATTTTCAAAGACCTTTTGTGTTGTTGATATAAAAACGAGCAGGCATCGATTTTCGCCCTTTTATCCCTAAATAGAGTCAGAGTTTAACAACCTTTGCAACACATCCCCTATCCGAAAATTAAGAGAGTACGCCGGGGTCACATATGTCTAACACGACGGAAGTCATCTCGTACACTCACCTCTTTGATCAGTGTACTCAGGACTAGTATGCAGTTACGTCAATTCTCGAAGATCTTCTAAAGCAGCTGAAGTCAAGAATCCTTTGCTGCAGAAAGTCCATCTAAGGTCAGATGAAGCCGGTTGCTATCACAACAGCTCCCGAGTAACCGCTGTGAGAGATGTCGCAAAAGGAGTTGGGGTTGAAATTCATAGTTATCACTACTCGGAGCCGCAGTCTGGTAAAGACATTTGCGATCGTATCCTCTATCCAATGAAGTCCTCTAGGACATGAGAGATGCATTGACGCAACACCCAGTGAAAGGAACAACAGCTTAAGTGAGCATAGTCGACGAATCAGAGAACACTCTCCGTATAAATAAGATTGAGCATTTCAGTTAGTAGCTTCCACAACAGTGGCTGACAAAGAGCCAAGTTCAGACCTTTTTCTCCCGGCTAACAGCAATGCGACGAAAAGATCAGGGTGTAATCGGGATATCGCTGGATGAGGAGGAAGATGTCCAATGCGTCGAGGAAAATTCCGAGAGACAAGATCTGGCCGACAAAGTTAACAAAGAGATCAAAGTCTCACATCCAATCTGCTACGACACCTATGATCTCTGTGAACGTTACCACAGTAACACACTTCTGAAATTCAATATGGTTTTGTTGAGAGCCATCTGTGGTCATTTTGAGATGCCTGTAAAATTGAGAGACAAAAAGCAGATCCTCATAGACAGACTGTCGGACGTGATTAGTGATTGTCAATGTGTTTCTCAGTAGACTTATGTAAACAATGTCTTACACGGTGGCTGAAAGTGTAGAATATGCTCTACAGATACAATCTACCTTTAGTTCCGATATCAAGTTCTGACGGCGTTGTTATAGTGTAATATATTATAATATCTAGTAGTCAGTGAAATGTTTTGATGAAAACGATAGAAAATTTACCAAAAGCAACACTTATAAAATCTGTTCATACGAAGCATGTGTCAAAGTTTTCATCACGTTGGTAGCCGATTTCTTCGGCTATTGACAGGTTGCTGATCTGTGGACACAATCGACGCGGAACAGAGAGAAGCAAGCTCAGGATATTTGAAATTGATTTATTAATTATATAATATGATCAAACTCCAGGTATAAAAGCATTTATTCTTTTCATCCAAAATTTTTCTCCCCAATTATTACATTGGGGTGTAAATTGGGATACAAAAAAAAACCATAAGGCACAACGTACGGCACAAGCTATCAGCGGTCTTCTCTTTTGTGCGGACCTTTGTGAGAACAGTATAACATCGAACTGGATCATCGTGATCTAAATTTAAGTGATTATTTCTTTACTTCAGACGCCTAAAACCTTCATTTCCCTCTAAGCTTCCAGACATGGAGAGTTTACATTCTGACTCTGGAAAAAATTCAGCTCTGTAGCGATGTTAAATGGGTGATTCACCGCGAAATGTGGCCAATTCCGACATTGTTTTGATACCACGAATCACGATGGATGCCGCCTACTTTTCGAAGGCAATACCTTGCTATTTGTTGAGGTCACCAATCTGGTTATTAGAAAAATTCTGAAGTGAGCCATGAAGCCGGGCTGCAAAGCGGGTAAGCTGTATTTATGACGAAATCTGCCCCAGTGGTTGGATTTTGGTGTAGGCGAAAAAATCGCGAATGCTCGTACATGCGCTGATTTAAACGGTCATAACTTTTGAAAAATCGAAAACGTACAGGGGTTTTTGCATATTTTTGCCTATAAAGGGATAAAATCAACGGCTGTGTAGGATAGGGTCGTCAACCAGATCCCAAATCCCAAAACTTAACGTCTAAATCAAGGTTATTTACGGCCATCGGCCTATGGCGATTTCTAGTGGTCAGAGTATGCTTAAATTCGCCTTTTCAGATATAGTTAGAGGGCAAATTCTAACTTTCTTGGCAAACTAGAAAGGTTTTTAAGCAATCTGATATAAATTTTGTGGCTTAACTATGCGAATCAAATATTTCACAAAGTTCAGAATATGCCTATTTTTCAATTTCCGAGACGTTGCGACGGTTCCTACGGACTGGGAAATAATTATGGCCCATAGTGCGGTCAAAAAATTATTTCGAATCAAACCAAATCTAATTCATTTCTTTCCTAGGTAAAGTCTTTCTGTTGACAGAGTTTCAGGCAAAATTATTTTTGACTCGAAATTGACCGGGTCGAAATAAGAGAGACAGCCTCTTAAATAAGGAGCTCAATAAATTGAGAGTGAAACGAGACTTATCTGCAAGTTGAAGTTTGATGGGAATTCAGTTGAGTCATCATGGGATCACATGAGATTGTGAAATTAACTTTGAAAGGCGAAAAAAAGGGTGGGCATGTGATCCCTAATACCTTAGGATGACTCATAAGAATTACCATCAGGCTTTAACTTCCGCCAAATTCTCATGTTCTTGGATTGGTTTTTAGTAATAATTTGCAAAGGTGCAGTGTCCTGACCAACCAGTAGTTCTGAGAATGGTATCAAGGAGTGCCTTAGCTTACCTTTCACACGGTAAAGATGCAATATTTCATAAGAGAGGGCGAGTGTTTCATCAGGGTTTCCAAACATGAGAAAGCTGATGAAAGCACGAGGCCGAAGGCCGAGTGTTTTTTTTTGTTTTCGAGTGTTTGAAAATCCTGATGAAACATGAAGCTCGAGTTTATGAAATGGTTCTCAAAAGGAACTACTTTATTAACAATAAACACAAAAACAGAACGTCCACGTAAATATTCAGTATTTGTGTTGTTTTGTTTCATTGTCGCTTGTGCATGGTTGTTAGTCAGTGTCATGAAAGATGTTGTGTTTTTTCACAACTTCGGCTTTTAATTGAGAGCAGTCACCCTTTGTATCGGCGTCCCATTTGCAATTTTGAGTGTTAAAGTGTCTAAACCACTTGAACCTTGCACATCTAGTAGCGTAACGGAAATCACTAGTTAACTTTTGGAAGGTGAAAGCAGTGTACGTGGAATGTTAAATCAGTTAAATTCTGGAATGTTCTTGAATTACAATGTAAACGCAAATGTTAACTACAAAGAATGATTATCATAATCCTGGAAGTTAATAAACATTTGTTCAAGTACTGCATTATTTTGAGAATTGATTTCCAAACACACGTGTTTGGATATCCTAACACGTGTGTTTTGATATCTAATCACGCGTGTCTGGATCTGTTCTTTACCGGGTATCAAGGGACATCCGTGTGACCCAAATGAGGCCACACAATTAGTTAATTACCTCATGCAGTATTAATGACTTTGAGAAAACATGTTCGCTTACTCGTGAAATATTTTTAAAGACAAGAAGACAAATTTCTTATCTCTGCACAGCCATGTAATATCCTCTATTTTATACTCGAGGTTTTTGTCTTGTTCAAAATTTTAAAATCTTATTGGCCAAAGCGAGGAATTTGTGAATTAACTTTACTAAGGTGATACGACTCTTGGCTCAACAATGGAGGTCATCTCGTTCAATAAGCCTAACAAGGGAAGAGTTTATTTATGCACAGCTGCATGAATCAATTAAGTGTTTACGAGTAGGAAGTTTTAAGTGTCTTGAACTCATATTACTTTTCTCGGGAAAGTGTCTGGAGGTCGAAAAATGAAGTGTTTTCTGGGATAGCTGAGCTTAAAATTTCTTTTTGGCACCAATCCTCATATCTCCCAGATCTGAATGATTTATAAAGTTGAAATTAAAATTATGTAATCACCATAGGTCAGTATAGGAAATTGGGCCTTGACAACTGTAAAGCTAACTTTACGCACTTTCTGCAAGCAACGAATAATAACAGCGGGGATTTGGTTCGTTTTCTTTCATAACTCCTCATAATCAGTCGAAAGTTTAAAAAGATGTAAGAGTGAGGTACATTTGAGGTTGAAAACGCTTTTCTTTATTCATCTCATGTTGTTGTACAAACAATGTCGAGACTCACAATGATAGTGACTCTCCAGTAACCCTCAAACCTCGAGGATTCTTGCCACTGCATGTTCTTCCAGTTGAAACTTCAAACCTTCCTTATCAAGGTTGGTTTTCACAAGGCGGAGATCCACAAAATGGCTCGGTGGCATCTCGTGTATCACCTTCTTGGCCCTGGAGGAAAAAAAATCAAGAATGACCCATGATCTCTCGCTGAAATAGGAATTATAGATATTGAGTCATTTACTTCGACGCCCTGGTAACCACAAAGATGAAGACAGTTTCCGAACAGTGCGTTCGAGTTGTAATTATGATCGTAAGCGATCAGAATAATTTCAGAGAAATGTCTACAAATAGACCTTTATCCAGCTTTGCAGTTTTGTAATCCGATGCGGTTGAAAAGTTATGATCACAAAATTCGGAAATTTAAGCGAATTTGAATAATGAAGAAACGTGCAAACCTCGGAGGTGACTCTAAACTGTCGGGTGCACTGCTTCTGAATATATAAGTTATGTTCGCCGCTTCTTATTAAGTAATTTCGTAACAATGGACTGAATTTATACTGCAAAGTTACATAACAGTTGGTGACTTTTTGGGGACTCGGGAGAGAAACCCGTTAAGATCAAGTCAGATACGTGTCTGTACACAGCAGTCGAAACCAACGTAATTACCTGTAATTGTTTTCATATCGACATTTCAGCATTTTCCCTCCTTCGACCAAAAGGTACATGATAGTGTCTCCCTTGATTGTTCCATCACAAGGAGTCATTTTCTCCGAGGTTGGTTCCCAGCCAAGCGTCTTGTTTTGCATGACAGGCCCGTCGATGGGAAAGTTGCCTCCTTGGAAATTGGTCTTGTGCACAAGAGTGTTTCCTTTGAGGCTGTCATAGTAGAAAGCATTTCAGAACGCAAAATGAATAAAACATACATTTTGAGTCCACCTTACGAGGTAAAAATATTTTAAAACCTCTAAACCAACAGGTTAGATTGCTATGTTAAAAGAAAAATTAGCCTGAAAGGAAGAAAGTGACGAATATAAAAAAATTAGGTCAATTTTTAATTTTGCCATTTAATCATTTTTGAGAAGCAAGCGGTTGTAGCTGTATTACTGCACTTTTGAGGCTTCCATGATGGTATTCATCATGGAAATCTGTCGTGAATTTTCACTTTTTCACATCGAGCCCAAATCTTTGTGTAGTGTTGCAGATTATGCAAGAAAACTTAAATGATTTTTGTTTTCAATCATTCATAGATGTAACTCAAAGATCTTTGTCCAATCTGCAAGTTAAAAAAGCTGATTAACAGTTAAATAGTAAGTAATTACTCACCTCATTTCCACGGTGGCCGTGGCACTCCCTCCATCTTCAAATGTTAATTTCCTGTCGTATGTCAGACCTTCGGGAAATGCTTGCTTGAAATAGTCAGGAATATCAGCAGGGTACTTCATAAAACATTTGAATCCATACTTCAAGGTCGGTGCCACTATGTCTACGGCAAATGGAAGGGGTCCGCCCTTTGTAACACGGAATGTCCCCGTTTGTTTGCCTCTGAAATATTCAGATGGAGAGGATTTTCGATATTGTGGTCTTTCATTAACGAGATCACTAGCATATGACTATTTTGGTGCGTTTTCATCACATAAGTGACTTGCGCACAATGACTTCTGGACGAGTTACTATATAAAGCTTAGATTTATAAACCCCTTTCTCCAAGACAGCCATACGCAGATGACACAAACGGCCAAAGGAAACATAACTGAAATAACCAAATTTGCTTTGGTTAGACCAGCAATGCATCCACGCAAAAGGACAATTTACAGGTTGATCGTTATTTCACATAAACGTACTCGTAGGGTTTGCCGGTGCCTTCTCCTTCGATGGTGAACGCATGACCATTGACACAGCCCTCCATAAGCCATGTCATCTTCATGGTATCGGCTAAGACCTGAACATTGGAAGAAGATTATCAAAAACCGTCAGGAGAAAAAGATCTTCTGGAGAGGCACTTAACCCGCCAATTCTATTAGCCATGCAAACTACAATTCACTTACATATTTTGAATGAGACATCTTAAAATCTGCTTCGCAAAGTCGAACAACGAGCACTGTTACCGCCTAAGAGGTGTGTCCTGCAGTTGCATCAAATTGATGGTGAGCCTCCCTGGTTTGCCAAATTTATACAGTGCAACTCAACCCAAAAAGACAATGATCAATTATATGTCTCACGCGCCGGATAACGTGTACACAGATTTATATCCTTTTCCCACGGTTCGTGTAATCTTTTAACCTTGACTGTCCGCCCGTTTTGGCCTTAGGAATTATTTTTGCCGAAAATAACAACGTTGTACTTGACCTGTTTTCATAACGACCTAACAAAGCACGAAGGTTCAATATGGCATAAACAGACTCTAAATATACCTAACATCAGTTAATAATGTAATTAAAGAAGTATTCCTTTTTTTTTTTTTTTTCTGTTTCCGAAATGGAACTCGATGGAACAGAGCGATTCCACCGTTCTGGCCTGCAAGACTGGCAGAGTAAGTTTTAAGGCTAATCAGTTATGTAACTATAGACTCAAGTTGCTCCTAGGTATCGAAATATTTCGATAATTATCTGCCTAAGAGAGATAATCAGATTGTGACATAAGCGATTGTTGCCTACTCGACACGCTTTTGAGGAAGGATTCCCTTTTCTTTCTTACATTTCTTCTCTGTCGTTGACAGTTTTAACAGTAAGTTCAAACAAAGAGTTAAAAAAGGAAAGAAATGAACTAAGAAAGCTTTCAACGCCCGCGTGCGTTTTACCTCATTTTTAAGCGTTTCAGGCGAGTTATCCCTGTCAGATACATTTAAAAACTTATTAAAATGATCTCAAGCGAACTTCTTATTTAGGGCAGAGGATTCCTTACAAACTTTGCCAAATGCCGCCGAATGTTACGTAATTCTACCTTGCATAATCTAATATTGTATAAGGTAATATTATAATGATAATAACAGTTTATTAAACTCTCTTGCAGTAACTTACTGAATTAACGAGTTATAATACAATGAAAACTTAAAAACTTGAAAACCTGCAAGCTTTTTTATATATGTAGTCAACATTACTATTCCACTTAAGGTCGCTATCGATAAATACTCCTAGAATCTTGTAAGTCGATACACGTGCTATACCGTTGTTGTCTACAACTAATGGTCTTAGAGTAAAGTTAGAATTTAACATAAAGTTAATTAACATCTCTTTACATTTAATTGGGTTTAGTGTCATGTTGTGATCCAAAGATTGTAAATGTCAGAGACGGTCGAATTGAGCAGACTATGGCAGACGTGTCATCCACAAAAATATTGCTTGCTAAAATATTGTTTGTCATTATTGTTATAAGGTAAGTAAATTACCTGTGGCACAAACTGTCGCGGGTCGATTTTTCCATTTTTCTATAATATTGCATAAGGTTATGTAACTTTTAGGGTGCCTCCGTGAAGTTTTAACCTGTTTATGAGGCGTTGTGTTTTCATGCATAATTTGTATCAAGCAAATTTTTCGCCTGTCACGAAAGAAAATAAAATTGTAAACCACCAAATGGCGCGAATTCATTGCTTCTTTTGTTTATCGCGGGTCTATTTGTTATGTAACGCGCAAACTGTCGCGGGTCGATTTTTCCATTTTTCCATAATATTGCATGAGGTAATATTGCATAAGGTTATGTAACTTTTGAGGTGCCTCCGTAAAGTTTTAACCTGTTTATGACGCGCGCAGCGTCGTTCTGTTTTCACGCATAATTTATATTCTTTTCTACCTTTGAGATCACTAAAAGTTACCATATACAATAGACGAGGGTGGGACTATTGTTTTCTGTAGTTAAAATTAACAAAACGGTTTTCGTTCTTTAGCTAAAATACAACAAAGGAAGATACCCACGAGCGGTAATCTTGCCTAATTTGAGTTGAATTTTCTTCAAGTGACATTGGTTAAATTCTTCAACAATTTCTCCAAACGTGAAGTTTGTCGTGCTGATCATTTTAAAGTCGAAAGTCGGTTACAAAGGAAGTTTCTTCGCTGTTAACACATCTTGTTTCCTGCTTAATATATCAATATCTTTGCCCGCAAATCCGGCGCGAGTTGCTTAAAGGGTAACTAACGCCAAAATTTTCCCTTTTTTTTGGTCCCAATACATTCCTATTAGGTTAAAGAATCCTAAATGCGCAAATAAACGACATATTGTGTAAAACCAAATTTTCTACAAATCTTATTTGACTCTTAATCGACTGCCGGCTCTCACCGAGAAGTTATAAACTCTTGCTCACACGTAATGCTCAAATAAGCAACCAGCCTCGAACGAACAATTGATCCTGAGTGTCTACAAATCCACGAAGACACATTTCAGTTTATTTCCTGTTATTTATCTTGTATTATTTTGGTGTTACACCCTACCCTTGCGGTCAGCGAGAAAGATTGCGGTAATTTTTGAGCTTCGTTAAATTTACAGTGAAGTTACCTCATCAAAGCTGCATTTTCCTCTTTTTTCTCAATTTTTCGCGTTGTATGTTGTCCTAATTCATCTACGTACCATTATGGGAGGTCTAACGACAGAAGAATTCAAGAGTTTGTTGGAGGAGGCTTTAGAGCCTCTACGCAGATCGATTGATGAAGTGAAGAAGTCTATCGCCACTGCGAACTCTAATTATTACCAAGTACTAACAAAAATATCACCCTACTAAAAAGGAATGACAGAACTGGTTAATGAGAACAAGAGTCTGAAGGGTAAGCTCCTGGATACTACAAGCCAGCTAAAAGTTTTAAAGGAATCATTTAACGAACTTGAACAATACGCGAGACGAGACTGCATGGAAATCCGGGGTATTCCAAAGATTTCTAGTGACACGCGGGAAGATGCGAACGAAATTGTAGTGGAGCTCGGTCGAAAGATAGGAGTTGACCTGAAAAAAGAGGATATATCAACGAGCCATCGTCTTCCGAGTAAAAGGAAAGCGAACGGAGGAAGGTGTATTACATGCTAATCCTGATCCTAATATAATGTTTGACTCCATTTACACTAGAGTCTCATAAAGGCATAATTGATGTTCATATCCCTCTCATACAACTCCCTAAACGTTTATAAAGAATGAAATCTAAGCCATGGATAACTACCACTTTCAGGGTCTCAGTCAACATAAAAAATAAACTTTTCAAGAAGTATATTTCAGCTAAATCTGTATATTATCACAGCAAATTCAAAATTTATAGAAATAAAATTCATCACTTATTAAAAGTAAGTAAAAACAATTATTATAATAATTATTTCCATGTAAGCAAGTCTGATTCCAAGAGAGTCTGGAAGGGGATAAGACAACTTGTTAATCTTAGATCCAGATCTGGCTCTACTGCCATCAAATTAGTTGTTGAGGATGTTGAATTAAGTGATTCTAAGTCAATGGCTGATGCTTTTAATAATTTCTTTGCTAATATTGGAAATATATATTCCTTGTGTAAATAAATCCTCCATTCGGTATCTCACAGCCCCATCTCAAGACAGTTTCTTTCTATTTCCCACAACAACAGTTGAAATTGAAAATGAAATTATTGTGCTAAATGCTAATAAGTCTACTGGGCCTTACAGGATACCAGTTGCTATTTTAAAAGCTACCAAACATGTTATATCTGCACCTCTAGAAATTATAGTCAATGCTTCTTTTTCTACTGGAATTGTCCCTGATTTATTTAAAATAGCTAGAATTACCCCTGTTTTTAAAAAGGGCGTGCAAACAAGTTTAAATAATTATCGTCTCATTTCTATTCTCTATCTATTCCACAAGCTGTTAGAAAAGTTAATGCATAAAAAAATTTAGAATTTTTGGAGAAGAAAAAAGTAATTTATTGTAAGAAGTTTTTGCTTCCGTGCGGAAACACTCCACGGATCATGCTATCGTAAGCATCATTGACTTGATTCAACATGCAATTGACTGCCAGGAATTTTCTTGAAGTATATTTTTGGATTTCAGTAAAGCCTTTGATACTGTAAATCGTAACATCTTGATTGAAAAACTAGATTATTATGGCATACGTGGTGTTACCAAAGATTGGTTCATCTTCTATCTTACCAAAAGATATCAATATGTTTCCTTGGGGCAAACTGAGTCTTATCCTCATCCTGTCTATGGTGGTGTTCCTCAAGGCTCAGTTCTCGGCCCACTATTATTTCTTGTAGATATCAATGATTTTAGTAACTGCTCTGAAATTCTAGATTTTCATTTATATGCAGATGATGCCAATCTGTTTTATAAATGCAAGAATCTTAAAGTCCTTGAATCCAAACAGACAATGAACATATATTCATACTTGGTTGAACTTTGTCATTTTCCACCCTCCACGAAGAAAGTTACCCTTTCATGTCATACTCTCTTTAAATAGCATTAACTTAAACCAAGAGTACTCAATAAAATATCTAAGTATTATGATATATTCTAATTTATCTTGGAAAAGTCAAGTACGCCAGTGGAGAGATTAAGCGCAATATTGGGACTCTTTCTAAACTTCGTTATTATGTGAATTCAGATATTCTGGTTAAACTATATTATGCTTTAATATATCCCTTCTTAACCTATGGTTTAATTTCTTAGAGTAACACCTCTTCTTCAACTACCCAGCCTTTTTTCATTTCACAAAAGAGAGCAATACGAGTGTTGACTTTCGTGAGCACTCCAGTCCAATTTTCAAATGCTTAAATATTGTTAAACTGCCTGACCTTGTCTTTCTTAATATCGCAGTCTTTATGTATAACTTTCACAATAGACGTCTGCCATCTGTGTTTGATACTTTCTTCAGACAAGTTAATAAAAGATACATTTATAATACAAGAAGTGTCTGGAATGATCTTTTTGATCAAGAGTGAGTACAAAGAATCGTTCTGACGAAGGGCTGACGCTCGAAACGTCAG